AAAGAATCATTTTGTTCTACAGTCACCCCTATACACTTATCAACAACATCTTCAGATACATTATCACTTGGGCTTCCATCTATACTATCGTTTGGTATATTAACATTGCATTTAACTGGAGACACCTGTCTCTCTCTGCTACAGGATGTGTCATTTTGTTCTGAAGACTCTGAGCTGTGGTTCTTAATGCAGCCTTTGTCCCCTTCTCCATCCATATAGTCTGCATTCTGCTCTGACTTTTGCTCATCCATGATTAAAGCTTGATACCGTGAGAGTCATATAGACTGGTGTTGATCACCTGTAATGGTAACAAACAATTAACAAAAGTAGTAATATTTCAATTAATATTTCCTTATCATTTAACCCAATGCTGCTAGGCATGGCATGTACATACATGCCATGTCCACAGTGTGTTTACCTAATTAATTATTTTTACACAATTTTACACTTACACTAAGTCACCAAAGAGCCAATTACGAGTACTGCCTGTCCACCTGTTTACCCTTTTCCTTGATTTTTGAGGATATTTTATGTTATCTTATATTGCTGTTACTTATGTCTATAACATTACAGTACTTATCATATCTATAATAAATATTACACCATCAATATTCATAGCATTAGTAAAAAACGTTCTTTCCAGGTGAAATCAGGTAAGGTCACAAGGTCTATTAATTGACTCCTTTGTGGCTAAGCACTTGCAGACCCATCTATGTACAGAGACACTTCACAAAAAAAAATACACAAATAAAAATGAGCATAGCATTTTCCCGGCAGCATTAGGTTAAAGTCTAACCTACAAAGGTCTCCAAAACTGACATCAGTATCCAGAATGAATCCAGAAGATGTTGTTGGCCCACCCAATATCCCACTACCCCTCCAAGACAGTACTGTAGCTTAAGGTGGATGATCACCCAGGACACCCAAGACTAATCTGATACCTGCTAGATAGACACCTCTGGGACCTCTGTTTATCGCAAAGGCAGTGTATAGACATCTTCGCACACAAAAGATTAATTCCATTCTTACTGATACTGAAATAAAAGCCATTACTAAATTGAATTACTCCAAATCTGTAATTCAAAAGTACAATAAAACAAGTCCAATATAATTATATATCTGCAAATACCTAGACTACATTAAGCTGAAAAAATAAAACCAATCCATTGACATTTTTCATGAAATTGTTGAACTGAAAATGCAAGTGACAAAACAAAATAAAAAATAAATAGCAAGTAATTTTTAAATATGAAGATCAGAGGTAAAACACTGATATTACCCACTCTTTTATATGCATCTACTACCAACAAAATAAAAAAGCAGCAAACATTTATGCCAACACATTTAGGCTCAGAATTTATACATATAATTTCTAAAAGAAATAAAATGTATTGGAATACATGAATACACATAAAATTTACAGTGCAGTCTCTGTTGATGTATTCCTTTGTAATCTTGATATCAAATGAATCTTTTGAAGATACACTTGTACATACCAAACACGAGTACATGGACTTGCCATATCAATAAACCAGTCCAAACTCTAGTCTCATGAGAATATATATTAAGACTTATTGGCCTTTCTCCAAGAGCAGGAGGGGAAGCCACAGCAATTGCAGGACTTTTGCTCGTATTCAGAGACACTTTGGACACCTCTACAGAGAGCTTCTTGTGTCTCCAGAAAAATTGGACCCAGAAGTTCCAGCATTTTGTGTCGTAAGCCAATGACCTCCTTGTGTCTCCAGAAAAGTTAGACCCGGAAGTTCCAGCATTTTATGTCGTAAGCCAATGACCTCCTTGTGTCTCCAGAAAAATTGGACCCAGAAGTTCCGGCGTTTTGTGTCGTAGGCCAATGACCTCATGTCTCCAGAAAAGTTGGATCAAGAAAGTCTGCCATTTTGCGCCGTAAGCCACAGATGATCGGGACTCTGCCACCACCCTGGAAGAGGTCTGCATTTCCAGCCCAGCACTGGAAAAGGTGTCTAAAGTATCTTTGAATATGAGCATTTGTCTCAGGAGGTAGTTTTTGGTTCAAACATTCCTTGAAATTCTTACCCAACCATAAAATTAATCAAATTATTTTTAAAAAGGCTCTCCAAAATATTATACTTCTCAAAATAATGAAACTATCATTTTCTCACATAAAATCAATGAAAGGTCACCCAACCCAATTCCCAACACACTAAATTGATACTAAAGACTAATTAACTCTCTCCTAACCCTTCAACAATTTATTTCCTTTTTTATCAATAATTTTTTTTAATAATGGAAATCATTAATCCTTCGTGTCTACTCTACCGTATGTCCGCTCTCCCAGCCCTGTTTTCGTAGCCAGATAATCCATTACACCTCAAACAGCTCGAAAACCCACAAAAAACAAAGAAAATGCTGAAAATACTCCACCTGACGTGTAATAAGTGGTAAATTAAGTGGTAAATAAATGGCCTTCATCAGCTCCTTCATCAGCTGGGTCTGCCATGGCCATTGACAGCTCGACCCG